TCCCTTCGCATGCCCGGAAAATCCCACAGCCCTAACGGCATCGTCCCGGTGGACCGACCCCATAGAGGCTGCACGCTTCTTGGGGCTGCGGTTAGTGGAACCTCGACGACAACGACTGAGATATCAACCGATCTGCTACAACAACAACAACAACGTTTCACCAGGGTGGGACCAGGAACTGTGCTGTCCTGCAGTCGGATTCCAACTTTCTCTACGGCTAAAACTTCATCCTCTAAATTCCAAAAAAAAGTTTAGCAATTTTTAGTGATTTTCGCGATTCTATCTTAAAAAAGCATATCCAAAAATCGCCCTTGGAAAATTTTTTGCAAGATTTTAGGGGTGAACGAAATGAACCGGATAAAGTGAGTAAAGTCGAGCTGCCTCCACGGCACAACAGAGTCCGCCTGAGTGACTCAACACAAACACAACCATAATACAACACAATACAATAGACATCACCACAGACACAACAGACCACACCACCGATAGAACCGCAGCACCACGCACACGCCGCCGCCAACAACTCCTAGTTCCTCCGACAATCTGCACGGTGTGTGAGTCCAGGACATTCCGTAACGTGACATCAGTGACGTGCAAGTCTGCGCACCACGCAAGATTAGACAAGGGACTATGAGGGCCCATCCTGTGCTTCTCGGTCGCAAGCACCAACTGCGACGCCGCCCAACACCACCACAGGGCAACAACCTTTACAGCAGCATGCACAGAATGTGGCGAGCCGGCAACACTCCCTAGGCACACGAAGATTTTACAATTTAACTGTAACGGACTTCGGACAGTCTTCATGGGTCGGCACGGAATATTAATAGCTGCGGTCCAAGAGACGAAGCTGCGTGGCAATTCAACATTGTTGAATTGCGTCGTATATAACATGTACCCTCGAGATCGCGTGCGAGATAATGGTGGTGGCCTAGCTTTCATCACGCACCACACCGTGCAGTGCAGACATCGACCGCAGGGATATCATCCTAGAATGTCAGGGTATTGCTATCCGCTCAGGCGATGTCAAGCTCGAAATATGTAAAGTATATATACCGGCTGCCACCAGCCGCCCGGCAGGATATCACCCTGAAATAGGTGCGCTGCTTAGAGGTGAAAACCGTATGGTAGTTGGTGACTTCAACACGCACCACGATCTTTGGCACTCAAGCCTGCCAAACGATCGTAGGGGAACACAATTGGCTGAGCCATCTGCCTTTCGACATTGTGCAATGAACGACGACGCACCCACCAGTATTATGGACAGCTGCTGCAGCTCGCCAGACCTAACAATTGTCAGCGCTGTTTTGATAAAGAGCATATCATGTCGACCTATGCTGACTTTAGCATCAGACCACCTGCCCATAGTAATCTCGATTGATAAACCAGCCGACTTTGCTTCCGCGGATCACCGGACATATGTCAACTTTGCCAAATCTTACTGGAAAGGCTTCGCGGATGTTACTGAAAGCACTTTCACTGCTCTACTTACACCAACCGACGTTCACGTAGGTGAGCGTAAATTCCGCAGGGTTGTCACTGCTGCCGCAGCCCGCTTCGTTCCAGCAGCATGTATTTCGGACCCCAATCCGAATTTTCCTGCTGAAGCGGCTGTCCTAACCGATGAGCGTGACAACCTTCGTCAGGCCAATCCCGCAAATCCCGGTATCAGGGATCTCAACTCGGAGATACGGACACTTGTGAGCGTACATAAGCGGAAGAAGTAGGAAGAAGATCTGATGACCTGCAACTTCGCCTCTGGTGTGAGTAACCGTGAGGTCATTGTGCAACCCGACGAAGTGTGACGACAGAGTTGAAATAAATTTTGGCGACTATGCTTTTTCGGATCCGGATCGATGCGCGAGCTATTTTACCCGACAGTTCATACAGCATCCTCCGGTGGATAAAGCCAAACGTCGAGTATGACCAGAAGGCTGCACAGACTGCCAACACCTAGTTTGCCTCTTGTTTTCGCCACCGGTGAGGTAAGGGTAGTCATCGGGAAGGCAAAAGCCTCCAAAGCCATTGGACCGGGCGGAATTTTCATGTTGATGCTGAAAAAGTTCGGCCCGGCTGGAGTGGACTATTTAGCCAAGGTCGTCAACCTGTCTATGGCCACTCTCATCATTCCAGTCACCTGGAAAATGGGGAGAGTGGTCCCACTGCTTAACCGGAGAAATCGTACAACAAAGAAGAGTCCTATCGTCCTAACTCTACTTTCCCCGGTAGCTAAGACACCAGAGGTCCTTCTACTTGCGTACTATACAAACCACCTGACCCCAGCTAGGCATCAGCATGAGTTCCGTAAAGTGCACAGTACAACAACAGCACTTAACGCCATAAATACCCAAATAACTCGTGACCTTAACCGAAACCGCCCCAGTGAGAGAACCATTCTATGTAGTAGCGCTGGACCTGTCTAAGGCGTTTAACATTGTCAGCCATTCAACGCCACTAGAAGACATAGAGGCCTCCTCTCTCCCACAGGGACTCAAACGGTGGTCGGCGAATTATCTGAGTCGTCGTCACTCGTTAGTAACCTTTAGAGACAAATCGAGCAAACCTAGGAAAATATAAGAGGTGGTTCCACAGGGTGGTGTCCATTCCCCACTACTGTTACATTTCAAAGCTCGCTCAACCAGCAGAGGTAGTCACGATTTTCTCTTATTTTGACGATTGCGTGATCATGACGTCTGGGAATGGAATTGATGACTTGTGCTTGAAAGTAAACGGTTATCTCCCCGAGCTTTCTCGCTTCTTCACTGCACGGAGCCTAACCCTCTCCCCTACAAAATCCTCAGCGACACCTTTTACCATCTGGACGAAGGAGGTCAGACAACAACTGGGAATTCACGTCGATAACGAACCAATCCCGACGGTGAACAACCCGAAGATCCTCGGAGTAAACTTCGACAGTCTGGCCCCCTTCTCGGCGCATACAAACGCAATTGCCAACAAAGTACAAAGCCGCAACAAGGCTAGCCGGCAGCACCTGGGGCAAAGGCAAACAGGCCTATCATGAATTCCGTCGGAGATCCCGATATTGTTACGTCGGGAAATCGCTATCATGAATTCCGTCGTGATCACGAAATTCTCCAGCAAATTCGAAATTCGTGAGAATGGTATCACTGATTTCGAGTTATTTTATTTGGATATATTTAATTTTGATTTAGAATTATTAAACCAAAACATAAAAACAAACAAAACCCAAAGGCAGCACTAACTACGAATGCGTCGGAAAGTGCTGATAGCGTTTCTCCCGAATTCGTGACGGGAGATTTTTACACGACGGGAGTTCTTTCGGAATCTGTGATAGGTCTGAAAGTAACGTTGCTGGCAACGTACAAGGCACTTGGCCGGCCGGTTCTGAACTATGCAGCGCCTGTGTGGTCGCCGGGACTAGTTGGACGCAGTGGATGAAGCTGCAGCTTGCCTAAACACGGAACTAAGGACAGCGACAAGTTGCCTTCTGATTTCGCCGCAACATCATCTGCACGACGAGGCCAGTGATCGGACTTAAAAATAAATTTGTGTGGTAGAATCTGGAAAAAAAGTGGTAGATTTCAAAAAAATGTGGTCGGTCTCAGGTTGCCAGGTTTCACCTAAATTGCAAACATTATAATTAGAATCTAAAAAAATTAATTATAGTATAATAAAGTGCAAGATTGAAGTTGCTAAAAATTGCATTGAGTTTTAGCAATTTTTTTCCTTGACAATTTAAAGCAGTTCCTTCCATATCAAGATATTTTTCGAACATATTTCGAAAGATTTCTGCAACCTTGCGGAATGCCGCCAGCTTTCCTTTTTATCACATTACGATGTAGCTAACAAATTTGGCACATTCCAGAAACCGCTACTTGGGATTTGCCGATTTTGAAAATTCTCAAGTAAAAGTAAAGAATGCTTTAGAAACTTTAGATGCACTGAAATTTGCTAATACTTTCACAAAAATTGCCATTTTTACCATTTTCGCTATTAATTCTTTTTATAAATCATATATTTTGCAATTTACACCATAAAACCACGTTTCCTGTCGAAAAATTGAATATTGAGAAAATTTACTATTTTACAATTTATTTTATCCACACATTTTGCCTGTTGTTAGTGTTTAGTATTGGAGAATTTTTGCTCTTAAAATTAACTAAAACTACTCAAAAAAGCGAATATGTGGGAGATTTCAGACCTTGTGTGGTAGATGCTCAAAAAAGTGACAGATATACCACAATGTGGTAGAAGTCTGATCACTGGACGAGGCCCACATGCTTCCCGTAAAGGAGCATAACACAACTCTCTGCAAGCAGTTCCTAGTTGGTAGCCACAGACGTGGTCACCCAAATGGACAGCTGCTTGCAGAAGGTCCCTCGCCCAGGCACGTCAGGAGGCATCTCTGCGAACTGGCGGACGAATTCCAGAGGTTCATCAAACAACCTCTGGACTCGACAGCTTATCGACGGCATTCACAGAGAAGCAGTCTCGTGTTGTCTAGATTTTCGACCTGTGAATGCCGTTCTGGGCACACAACCACCAGACGTGGAAGAGACAGAGCTTCGTCTGCCTCGGGAGACTCTGACCACAATAGCCCAACTAAGCTCTGGTTACTGCAGCAGGTTGAACTCATACCTGAGCAGAATAAACGAAGATGTTCTAAACCAGTGATTCCCAAAGTGGTCCAGGTGGACCCGCAGGGGTCCACGGGAAACTCGGCGGGGGTCCACGGTGACGTGAAAAAAATATGGGGGTCCATGAGTTGTAAATAGGGGTCCACGAAAATTTATCTGGTTTCGATGTAAAGAACCAAAATGGTTGCTTGATAGCCTCTTTATTTAACTTTAATTTGTTTGAGTGGTGTATAGTGCTCTTGACGCACTGCTACACTTACCGTCACCTTGTGTTTTCATACGTGGGGAAGCCTAAAAGGCCACCTGCATACTAAAAAGAACCGGATGCTGGTATGACAATGAGTGGGGCGCGGCGAAAATTGCTGGCGGCAGAGATTTAAGCACTTGTATCTCTTCAATGCTACAGGATAGTACGCCACCATTATCTTTTTGAAGACATTTTATAATGTTGAGTTCACTGAGACTGAATGCTAGTTTGATTCCATCGCTGAGACCAGACTCACACATTGTCCAATCTTCACTGATGGCTCCAAAACTGACTCTGGGTCATGATCTGAGGTCTTTTTCGAAGTTAATGGAAATAACCTTCACTTTTCTGTAGGGGAATATGCTTCGGTCTTCCAGGCTGAGGCAATTGCAGTACTCAAAGCCATGGGCTACGTGGTGGAACATAGGTGGAGAGGAAGGAGTTTACGTGATTGCAGTGACAACCAAGCTGCACTTGAGGCATTGGACAGCCCTCTATTTAAGTATTTCCAAACTAGTTCGGCAATGCAAGTCTCGACTAAAATATGATGGTGAACATAACGAGGTTGTTTTACTCTGGGTGCCAGGTCACTCAGGAGTACCTGATTATGAGACATCTGATCATTTGGCCAGAGTTGGCTCAGACCAGGCACTCCTCGGTCTGCAACCAGTTTTAGCACTCCCACCTTCGGCAATCAAAGCCACCATCAGAAACTGGGTGAATACTTCGCTCAGCAAAGACTGAGAGGCATCGAAGGGATGGAGGTGGGCAAAACTCATGTTGCCTTCAATCTCACAAGGTCTATCTAATTTTTTGCTCTCACTGAGCAGACGACACTGCAGACAACTTGCTGGACTGTTGACTGGTCACTTCACGTGGCACAAACACCTGACTGTGATAGGCGTAAATGACAAGTCCATTTGCCCCTCTTGCCGTGAAGAAGATGAGACGGTGGAACACCTTTTGTGCCTCTTGCTTGCTTGGTTATTTGTCATCGCTTTTTTAAAACTCGTTCTTTTCTCTATTGTCAGTTTCTGAATTAAATGATGCCATTAATACAAATAAACTATTTTACATATACTCCACGTGCAAAGTCATGAGTGAGCCGAACATTTGATGAGTTTATGGTGAAGATAATGTAAATAACTCTAGCGCCCGCAGTGCTCTTAAAAAATATAACTCCTCCGAGCGAGAGAGTATTTTGATGTATTTACGAGTTCTATTTTTTAAAATCTACAAGTGTGTAATCACATTATTTTTATAAATAGAACACAAGAAAATATTTTACTTTTATTTTGGTCACTCTAAGTTTAGTTTTTGAATTCACCCGCGATGCAAATTTACATTGTTAGATCTTATTTTCACATTTCATTTTTTTTACGAGCTTTGGGAATATTTAGAAATATATCAGCAGGGGGTCCACCGAAACCAGTAAATTTTTAAAAGGGGTCTACGAGAAAAAAAAGTTTGGGAACCTCTGTTCTAAACGAATGCCCGGCAAGCGGAGAGACGCCCCATGACTCACAGCTTCTCTTCGTATGCCCCCTGAACCGCACCCTGCTGACGCCCCTGCCCCTATGGACAGATCCAATCGAGGCTGCACGCTTCCTGGGACCACCGTTAGTAGAACTTGACGACAACGATTGAAGGACCAACCGATCTGGGCGGGGTTGTTGTAGCCGCTACAACAACAAAAACAACAGTAAACTTTTCTTTTGACAGCTCAAATAGCTAAAATATCGATGCCAGCGTATTAGAATCGCTAAAAAATCTATATTTTTCCCTGAAGAAAGTGTGTAATTGGCGACGAGAAAAATTGTATCAAAATTGCTCAAATTTCTATCGTCTTTCATTTAAACTAATAAACTAAATATATGTTAATACAAACCTTGGAATTAACAAGGAAAAATGGAAAATGGCAACTGAAAAATAGTGAGAAAAGACCAAACATTTATCGTCGGTTAATTTATTTCATATCTTCTTTAACCATAGGTTACTTTCCTCCATTTTCAGGCCTATTCTGCTTGTTACCGAACATTTTAACTCCATAAAATTTTGTTACCAAAAAATAACGCCGTTTTCTGTAACAGCAATTCTAAGTACCAATTTTTATTGGCCTTGAGGCCGTTTTTAATTAAAAACTTATTGTGGAAAAGCAACAATAATCTGAAAGATGGTAGAAGTGATAGCTATTTCGGAAATCACCACATTTCCTCATCAGACTGCTTTCAGTAGGATAGTTGTTGCTTTTCCACAATAAGTTTTTCATTAAAAACGGCCTCAAGCTCAATAATAATTATTGAATACAATTGTTATAAGACCATAAAATAACAAAAAGAACTAATTAATAAAGTTAAATTAAAATATGCGCAAAATTAACAATAAAATACGTTTCTCGCAAAATCTATAAAGAACCTTTTTTCAAAATAAACCTGTGCGACAGTTATTATTTTACACCCTGTACATAAATGGTTCCCTATAGTAATTAATTATGGCATTATCGATATTCCTAAACAAAAAAATATATATATATATATTTATTACATGTAGTCTCGCAGATATGCCTTGAGGAGAGATTCCTATCTAACTGTCTTCATAAAACAGCGCCACTTGTGGCCGGATAAATACTAAAATTTAGGTTAGGCAATTTTTAGTGACAGGGAGGATAGGTTCGCAATTTTCTCAAATCGCCAAAAATTCAGATAAAATTTTAGCTCTAAAATTTTAGCGATAGCGAAAGTTGGAATCCGGTCTCGTTCGGCAGATCCGCTGCAATCTCCATATCGTCGATTGAGGTAATGTTGGTTAGAAGCGAGTCCTCCCGAAATAAAGGAACGGACATATATTTCTGTTAAAAACATAGGTTACCTTTTACTCTTTGTTCATAAAAAACAGAATAAAACCGTAGAAGAACTCCGTACTGCTTTAGAAAATTTGGCTTAATACTTCTTCTTGACCAATGCTTCAACTTTTCTGTATGGAGTTTTGACAGTTCTTAAGACCTACGTACCACGCTTAAAATTTCAATAAGGGTTGCTACTGTTAACGATTATCCTTGGATTAACGACGATTTTCCAATTTCCAGCGATGAAGATTCCGATGTTATTCGTCGAACTAAACCAGAGGTTCCCAAACTTATTTTTCTCGTAGACCCCTTTCAAAACTTGACTGGTTTCGGTGGACCCCCTGATTCTCATTTCTACCATATTCCCAAAGCTCATTGAAAAATGTGAAGATTAAATCTAACGATATAATTTAACATCGCGGGTGAGTCCCAAAACTAAATTGGGAATGGCAAAAATAAAAATAAAATATTTTCTTGTGTTCTGTTTATTAAAGTAATGTGATTACACAAGCTCGTAAAGCCATGAAAGATTTATCTCGCTCTGGGTAGTTATATTTTTTAAGAGCACTAAATAAACACCTCAAATGTTCGGCTCACTCATGAACTTGCATGTTATTATGTGTCAAAGAGTTTATTTGTGTTGATGGCATAATTTTTATTTTTATCCCTCCAAGTTTTAAAGTGATGCTAAAAATATTCGGGCCTCGCATTTTTAAAACACAAAACTTGAAACAACAAAATTACAAAGCTTTTTACGCCAAACTTCAAATTCAGAAACTGACAAAAAAGAAAAGACCGAATCTAGATAAATCGATGATAAATAAACAAGCAAGCAAGAAGCTCTTCAAAGAAGGAGGGCCAAATGGAGTTCTCATTTACACCTATCACAGTCAGATGTTTGCGTCACGTAAAGTGGCCAGTCAGCAGTCCCGTCTTCTCAGTAAGAGGAAAAAACTAGATAGACCTTCTGAGATTGAACGCAACATGTGTTTTGCCCACCTGCATCCACTCAATGGCTCCCAGTCATTGCTGAGCGAAGTATCCACCCAGTTTGTGATGGTGGCTTCGATGATCGAAGTGGGCAACGCTATAACTGGATGCGGATCGAGGAATGCCTGGTCTGAGCCAACTGCGGCCAAAGAGTCAGATGTCCGAGATGCCCGGCACCCAGAGTAAAGCAAGCTCGTTCGTTATCTTTACCAGCATAATTTAGTCGATACTTGCATTGCCGAACTAGTTTGGAAGTATTTAGATAGAGGGCTGGTCAATGCCTTAAGTGCAGCTTGGCTGTACCTGTCGACACGTAAACTCCTTCCCCTCCACCTATTTTCCACCACGTAGTCTATGGCTTTGGGGGTTGCAAATACCACAGCATGGAAGACTGAAGCATATTCCCAAAATAAAAATGTAGCTTATCCCCATGTACTTTGAAAAATACTCCAGATCCTGACTCTGAGTCAGTTTTGGAGCTATCAGTGAAGATTCGACAATGTATGAGTGCGGGCTCAGTGCTGGAATTAAACCAGCATTCCTCCTCAGAGAACTCTCTCTCTCTCTAGAATCTCTTCAACAAATGTAATGAAGGCGTACTATCCTGTAACATTTAAAATACAAAAGTACTCAAATATCTGCCACCGCCAATTTTCGCATCGCCTCACTCAGTGTCATACCAACCAACACCCGTTTCTTTTTAGTCTGCAGGTGGCCTTTAAGGCTTCCCCACTTATGATGACACAAAGTGACGGTAAGTTCACCAGTGCGTCAAGAGCCCTTTACATCACTCAAAAAAATTAAAGATGAATAAATGGGCTATCAAGCAACCATTTTGGTTCTTTACTATCGAAACCAGATGAATTTTCGTGTACCCCCACTTACAACTCGTGGACCCCCACATTTTTTTTAACGCCAACGTAGACCCCATCGAGCCTCCGTTGGACCCCTGAGGGTCCACCTGGACCACTTTGGGAATCACTGAACTAAACGAAAGTTCAGAAACGATAATATAAAAACAGATTTGGATTTTATTAACTCTTATCTAACTTCAATTGCATTCCAGCTGAGACACAAAAATTGCAAAGGGAAGGGAAGGCATTGGTGTTGTTGAAGAGATTAAAAATAATTTGTTCTCAAACGGAGAATAGGTAATATGTATTTAAAAATATTAAACTCAGTTTAGAAATTAAGGATTCATATCGTTGCTGGAATAATGAAGTAGTGTAACATGTAAAGTATAGTTTTGAGAAAAACGAATTCAAAGTTTTTATAATCCAATCGACCAAATTTAAACTTTAACTGTGCGCTTCTTATTCAAAATATTCACAATTTAAATACACCACACTTTTTATTTATTCCTTAGCTGTTAATTAACAAAAAATTATGTACCATGTTTACTTAGAAATACCATTTGAGCCCATTTTTCTGAAAGCATCTGCTTATACACTATTTTATCTTTGAACATTTTTATTTGAAATCATTGTACACTATTTTATTTGTTTGAAAACTCAGAAAAACTAATTGATGTATGTATGTCGATATTACACTAGGTTTGTTCCATGATACAAAAAAGAAGGTAGTTTCAATAAACAACTTTTGACGGATAATAAAATTTTTTGAAGTTTCATAAATTGTCAGTATTATCAACGGCCTTGCCACTTTGATAATATTAAAACAATACATCGGAGTATTTTCTTTGCCATATTTTTACCAATTTGAGAATATTTCAAATCAAAACTCACAATCAGTACTTGATATATTTTTACTTACGTGGTTTGCCCCTCTTTTATTAAAAATATATAAAATGTAAACTGTTACATTGTAATTATTCTTTTTATTTTATAATAAAAACCATTA